CGTCCTTTATCACCAACCCGCTTTCCCTCTATCAGATACTGGCTGGACTTAACACCATCGGATACGATGTGGTGCACAACAGATACCGGCTGGGTGGTTGCTTCAATAGGATCTCTCTTTGACCCCTGGGCTCTTGGGTCCTGTGTCTTTGTCCACCACTTGCCACAAGTGGATTCAACCACCCTCCTGAATGTAAGATGACCACGCCTATTCTCCTTTCATATTTCTGTCAGCAATCAGGATTAAATGGGGAAAGGGAATAATTGTATTTATGCTATTTTAATTTCCATTTGTGAGTCTTCCGAGCCTCAAAGATGTGCCAACACTGCAAACCCCTCTTTTAAACCCCTCTCTTTCTTTACCTGCTTTCATGCCCTGGTTCAGTGTTTTGATCTGCTCACCTTGTTTTTAAAGATTTGTGTGATTTCTTATTATTGGTGTGATTTCTTTTATTGTCTTGTTTTTATTGTCTTGGTTGGGTTCGTTCTATTGTTTTAGCAGAATCAAGCAAGTCTGGAGAGGCAGTTATACAGATTTTCTTAGTCAATCACTTCCACTAGCATAAAACACTGTCCATCTACATCAGAAAATTGTGGGATGTCAGAATATTTAATGATAACCCATCAGAGATCCCTCTTCCCAGGTCCAACATTTCAATTTTTTAATTTTAATGTGATGGCATGATTTAGCATGATTCTCTATTGATTCAGCCATTGGGTTACCTTAGCCCATGCAACTCATGCACCAAATTTGTTTCCCTTTTTAGACTCTCTCCCGATTTCCCGTTACTGCCATATTGGGCGTTCCGACCTTGTTCCGCATGTTGGTGCAAAGTGATCTTACCAGGTACCTTAGGAAACTGCTTTCTGCAAAGGGTTATATTCCACCATGCATCATCCCACCTCACACCCCATGGCTGCACATGCAAAGTCACCCCAAACAGCCCACAGCCCGTTACATTTCTCACTCACCCTTCCTCTAAGCAGCTCAGGATGGCAGACCTGACTCCCCTTCATGTTGTCCTCCCTCTGAAGTAGGATGGGCTGAACAACAGGGACTAGTCCACAATGACCCACTGGAATTCTTGGCTGGCTGAGTGGGGGAACTGAAGATGGGTTTACCTAGCCTGAGGCCAACATTCTAACCACCACACACCACACTGGCTTGCTCTTTGCAAAGAATAGCTAAGCATTTCTAACTGTGTCAGTGAAGATAGATTCAGGTGGGTAGCCATGCTGGTCTGAAGCAACATAACAAAGTTTGAATCCAGTGGCACCTTTGAGACCAGCAAAGTTTAATTTTGGGTATAAGCTTTCGTGTGCACACACTGCACACGAAAGCTTATACCCAGAATTAAACTTTGTTACTCTTAAAAGTGACACTGGACTCAAACTTCGTGTCAATGAAAAGAGTTTCCTCTAAATTACCCAGGACATGCAAAGACCTGGAAAAGTCAGAAACACAGGTTACCCTGCAACTCTCCTCTACTGCAGATGTCTCATATATATATTAATATATATATTTCCCACAGTGGCTGTTGCTAGGCACCTAAGCTTGGTTCTGTCAGTAAAAGGCAAAGGCAGGAGGCCCTTTGTGGGGAACTCATTGGGGCCAGTCCTGCCTAGGGTTGCCAGCTCCAGGTTGGGAGATTCCTGGAGATTTTGTGGTGAAATCTACGGAAGCCAGAGTTTGGGGAGCAGAGAGGCCTCAGCTGAATAGAATGCCATAAACTCCACCCTCCAAAGCAGTTATATTCTCCTGGAGAACCATCACTGTGGCTAATAGCCACTGATGGACCTCTGCTCCATATGCTTATCTAATTCCCTTTTGAAGCCGTCCATGCTTGTAGCACCCACCACTTCCTGTGGCAGTGAATTCCATGTGTTAATCACTCTTTGGGTGAAGAAGTACTTCCTTTTATCCGTTCTAACCCGACCGCTCAGCAATTTCATGGAGTGCCCACGGGTTCTTGTATTGTGAGAAAGGGAGAAAAGTACCTCTTTCTTTACCTGCTCTTTCCCATGCATAATCTTATAAACCTCGATCATGTCACCCCTCAGTCGTCTTTTCTCCAAGCTAAAGAGCCCTAAGCGCTTTAACCTTTCCTCATAGGGAAAGTGTTCCAACCCTTTTATCATTCGAGTTGCCCTTTTCTGCACTTTTTCCAAAGCTATAATATCCTTTTTAAGGTGTGGTGCCCAGAACTGCACACAGTATTCCAAATGAGGTCTCACCATTGATTTATATAGGGGCATTATTATATTGGCTGATCTGTTTTCAATACCCTTCCTAATAATCCCCAGCATAGCATTGGCCTTCTTTATTGCAGTCACACACTGTCTCGACATTTTCAGTGAGTTATCTACTACAACTCCAAGATCTCTCTCTTGCTCAGTCTCTGCCAGTTCAGACCCCATCAATGTGTATTTATATTTAGGATTTTTGGCTCCAATGTGCATCACCTTGCACTTGGCCACATTGAACCCCATTTGCCATGTTGACGCCCACTCGCCCATCCTTGACAGATCCCCTTGGAGTGCCTCACAATCCTCACTGGTTTTCACCACCCTGAACAACTTTGTATCATCCGCAAATTTAGCCACTTCACTGCTTACTCCCATCTCCAGATGGCAGAGATCAGTTCCCCTGGAGAAAACAGTGGACTCTGTGTCATTATACCCTGCTGATGTTACCACAGCAAACTGATACTGAGTGCCCAAGGCCAGGGCACCCACCCAGAGCCTCCTACTAGAGCTCACTGTATTTATTTCCACAATGGGCCTTATTCCTATTACATATCCTAAGGATGTCAGCAACATGAGTGGTCTTAGTGTATGTCAAGATTGCAGTTTCAAGATTCCTGGCTCTTTCCAGACTAAGCATCATGGGGATGCTGCTAGAAAACTGTTATGACACTTTTATCTCACCATTCCTCCAAACAATACATGGCTGTCCCCTTTTATCTTCACAACAACCCTATCAAGTAGGTTAAGTGGACACTATCAGGTAGGTTAAGCAACTATCCCAAGGTCACCCAGGAAGCTGTGTGCCCAAGCAGAAATTTAACCCCCTGGTACCAATCAGACACTCTTTTTCACCGCAGCAGCTGCCACTTTGATTCTGTGTTTCTAACATACCCCAGATTATTAGCCAGTTTGGTGTAGTGTTTAAGAGCGCAGAGTAATCTGGGAGAACCAGGTTTGATTCCCCACTCCTCCACATGCAGCTGCTGATGTGACCTTGGGTCAGTCATAAGTTCTTTCAGAGCTGTTCTCTCAAGGGCAGTTCCCAAGGGAGCTCTCTCAGCCCCACCTACCTCACAGGGCATCTGTTGCAGAGAGGGGAAGGGAAGGAGATTGTCAACTGCTCTGAGACTCCTTTGGGTAGTGAAGGGCGGGGTATAAATCCAATCTCTTCTTCTTAACTGATCTATGCATCCTCTTTCAGCTACAAGTTCATGAGTCTGAAGTACTGTCTCAGTGGAGTGGAGCAGCTGCACCCTGAAAGGGCGGGGTATAAATCCAATCTCTTCTTCTTAACTGATCTATGCATCCTCTTTCAGCTACAAGTTCATGAGTCTGAAGTACTGTCTAAGTGGAGGGGAGCCGCTGAACCCTGAAGTGATGGAGCAGTGGAAAACCAAGACAGGGCTGGACATCTATGAAATGTACGGGCAGACAGAAACGGTAGGTGCTCAGAAATTAAGCTTTATTTTTATTCTTTGGGGGACATTTTAAGTCATGAGTTACAGCTGACTTCTA